GGGTATATGGGAAGTCAGCACTACTTTTGCAACTTTTTCAAAAGTTGAAAATTATTTCAAAATATAGTTAAAAATGAGTTTTAGAGCTTTTTTCCCCACAGGTCCACATGGCTGGCTTTATGTTTTAACAAAAGTCTCATTCTCTTTTTCATGCCAGCTACAGTACGTGTCGTTGAGGGAAGTCTCCATGGTGCTTGCACCCAGCACGTGAGGCATCATCGTGGCCTGGACTCTGTCCTGAGAGGCAGAGGCCCCCCAGCTGGGCCCGTACCTCCCTTCTACTTGGGGAATTGTTTGGCCTTCCCTGTCTGCTCCTCCCACCTGTACCCAGGTGTGCCTCTACCTGGTAGCTGAGATCTTGGACCTCCAAGGTGTTGGACTTGCCACTGTAGGTGAAGTACAGGCTGTTGTCAGTTTCAGAGGAGAACACACTGTCCTGGAGGCCCTGCGGGAGACGTGACAGGTGAGGGGCTCCTTTGGGAGAACGAGGACATAGGAGAAAATAGAGGGAGGAGACCTGAGAGGTGAGAGCAAGAGCTAGCATGAGTGAGACCCCGAATGGGATGGATTTGGGCAGGAGGAGCCCATTGGCTCTGAGAAAGTAGGAGCATCTGTGGGGTCTTGTCTCCTTTTCCCTGCAGAGAGGGTTTTGGGGCTTCCCTCCAGCGTAGCTCCTGGCCCCAGGGAAGCTGAATTACAGGCTGTTGGAACCTGAACACAAGAAGCCTATCATGGGTGAGACTGAGACCCTGGCCCGGAGGCTTTGTGAGCCTCTGTGCTTGGGGAAGACCTGAGGCTTTCTGTTCCCTGCATCTGGCTTAATATCTTCTGATGCATCAGAATCTGTTGGGAGATTTTAGAGGAAGTCGCTGTCATCACCCTCACTGTCACCATCATCCTCATCGTCATCATCATCATCCTCTTCATCTTGTTGCTGTGGTTGGAGTGCTGCTTTATTTGAATTCGCCTCAAACAAATCTGTGTCTCATGGTATCAAGTGATAACTAGGAATGATATTAACCATCTGCAGATCTGAATTCCTTCTGTTTTTCAGTTCAGTCCAGTCATTTAAATCACTGAGGCCCAAACAAGGAAGAACCTGCCTAGTCAGATTTCCATTTTTTAATGCATTCAATTTTCTTTTCATTGTAGTAGTGCAGGGGAAAGTATGCATGCATTCATTCACAAGTTCCTGTAGATTCCAATCTTCTTCCCTCGGAGCTGCCATTCCCCCACTGATGTGTTCCTTCAGTCAATCAAGCAAGCATCCAACGAACACTTATGGGGAGCCCACATCATGCTTTAGGCTTGGTGTTTGGTGGGATGGTGAAAAGATAGTCTTTGAGAAGCTTCGATTTTAGTGGACAAGACACGTGATGAGGATGTAGCAAGACAGGCTAGGCGTGGATCAAGCTGTATCTTCACTGTGTGCACAGTGTCCCCGTATGCTTTATGTGAAAACAACATGGCTTATGACTTAATGTGAAAACAACACCCAACAGTCTTTGTCAGAACATCCCTGCAATGGTGGAGGTAAGAGGCCCTTAGAAAGGATATTCAGGCCGATGGAAGTGGAGGGAAGTGAATACAGGTGATGGCCTGCTGCAGACCCATGGTGAGTAGCCCCCAGGGTTCTAGGAGAGAGTGGAAACAGCAGACCAGAGCTACTTACCTTGTTTAATGTTTGAACTAGTACAGTAGAGATCCTAAATTATACAGGAAAACGCAGGAAAGGTAAATGTCAAAGTTAGCAGAAGGGCCATCTTTGAGGTGTAGGAAGGCATACAAGGAGGAAGGGATGAAGGCCGGAAGAGGGAACAGGTGGGCTTCAAAACTGTTGGTGGATTGTGATGGGTACATGGGAGTTCACTATTCTTTAAACTACTTTGTCTGAAATATTTCAAAACATGTTTTCAAGTTGAGAGAGTGAGTCTGTGACTCTAGAGTTCTACTCTCATCTCGACCCCCGGCTGCCAGTGCCTCCAAAGGTAGGGGTGGAGGAGGTGAGAGGGTCTTGCCCTCAGAGGTGGAGAAGGAAGCTCCTGGGAAGGTCAAGGGCAGCTCCGGATTCTGGCAGGTCTGCCAGGCAGCCCTGACCCTCACTCACCACCTCCACCACCAGCATTTGCACTACCTAGTTTTCCAATTTTATTTTGTTAAACCATTGGAAATTCTGTCATTTGCTGAGAGACTTATTTGGGCTGACATGCATCCTGCTTGTTTGGTTTTTTTAAAAGTACCTGCAGGAGGAACATTAGTCAATTGGTATGAGATGTGAGTTAGCTCAAAAATTGCTTCTGCAAACAAACATCTGACCAGAGCTCCCCAGGTTGGATTTCAAGGTGGAGGGGCTACTGAGAAAAAGGGGCTCGACATTTTGGAGTCTGGAGCAGTATGTGGAGGTGACCTGACACCCAGGAGTTCCATTTTCCAGGCAGGAGCTTTGAGAAGACAGAGAGGTGTCAGAATGGGAAGACAGATGAAAGGAAGGAGAGGGTGCCTGCCCCCTGCTCTCAGGCTCCTCCTACCCCCTTCACCCTGGGCTAAGTAGGGAGGGCACAGGTCAGCCTAGGACCCCAGCCACCACCAAGGGACTGTGCCATCTGGAGCTGCACAGGCAGCTCAACTTTCGGAAGAAGAGATTTCATGGCTGAGTGTGGGACCTCCTCTGTTCCACTTTGAAATATTTTCCTTGGCTCCCAGAAAGGATTTGTTAGACTCTTCCTGAGGTTTTGACAAACTCTCTGTAGTTTTCAAATACTTAAATATCTATTCGGCTGACGTCTTAATCAGCATGACTGTCAGAACATCACTTGAATTTCTGACAGGTGACACCCGAAAAAGCAAAAGCAGGTTTATTTGTAGGCAACCAGCTGAGCTCCTGCTGGGCTACATTGTAATTTCTCCTTGTATTAACTTCTGATCAAATGCCTGCGTCAGAAGCACAGAGTAGAAGGGAGCTCAGGGAGCACAGGGCCCAAGACCCTTGTTCTAAGACAAGGAGCCTGGGCCCAGGAGGAGGGGTGACGTGCTGAGGGCTCTGCACTGAGACCTGGGCCCCTCTGGTCCGGCTCCTGCCCGTGCACTGAGGAGTCTGTGGGCCGAGGGCACTTGCCACTCCAGGTGCCCATGACCACAGAATTCCCTGTGCGGATGACTCTGAGCCCACTCCCAGGGCCTGCGTGAACCTCATCCCAGGCCCATCCTGGGCACCCCAGGCCAGAGGGGCATTTGTCTGTGGAGGGTGCGGATGGAATGTGGGTGGGCAGGATGGGGCGACCCTGTAGGGGTGTGGGAGGTCATGTGTGGCACTGGATGTGGGCAGAGAAGGAGGGTAGACTGTGGCTTGAGGTGGAAGCCACAAGTGCAGAATTCCTTTTACACTTGGCCTTCTATGCTGTGGAGAAGTTATGTCAAGGTAAGATAGAAACTTTAACAGCTCATAACTTGACTGCAAACTTTTAAATATCTAGACCTAGTCTATGTAGCCCTCAGCCTCTTGTTCCAGGCGCCATAAATATTAGAGGCAGACAGTCTCGTGGCACCTTCAGTAACAGGACTGGAGGAAAGGAAATTGGAATCAGCAGGGCCTGCACACGTTCCTGGATGTCAGATTCGGGCAGTTCTTTGCATCCCAGGCTGTGGGGGCTGAATTGTCAGACCTTCCAGGCAGAAAGTGTCCCCAGAGCCACCAGTGGCTATATCCTGTTCAGGCCATGAATCATTTCCCAGCGGGGACTGGTCCCCGGGGTATTCCCAGGGCAGAGCTGGGCATCTGCTGTGGCTGCAGGGCTGATGAGGAATGGTGGGTTCTTGGCTCGGCTGAAGTCTGGTCCTGGCAACTCGAGGTCAGTCCAGGTAGCCAGGTGTGAAGTCCTCAGCGCTCCGTGGCTTTCTCTCCCCACGGCTCGCGCTCCACCCACGGCCAGCAGAGACAGAACAGACGGTGGCAGGAGGCAGGGGTGGAGGGTGGGGACCGGCTTTCTCTCTCTTCGGATTCCGCCTCTTGCTCAAATCCTGCCCACCCCTGATCTCAGTCAAAGGCTGTTTTTCAGGTAAACATTTCTCCTGTACAGTGAGTACAGAAGCCCTGGACCCCAGCCTCTTGGCCCCCTGGCTGTCATCTATCCCTCCAGCTCCCTCTGGGATCTTAAGATCGCCTGCTGTAGCCACACTGGGAGCACAAGTTCTGAGGCTCCCACAGAAGTCCTCTACCATCTTGTGTCATCAGTTTGCTGTCACTGAGACTCTGACTTGACAGTCCCATGGACCAAGCAGGCACCACAGTGTCCCTGGTATGTGTGAGCATGTTTCTGTGATGGAGCCTCATTTGGAAAAAAAGGCTGGATCAGCCCCAGTCACAAACAAGAACATCCTTTCCCTGTTGGAGCACAGCTCAGGGCAGGAAGTGACCTCAGAGGCCCCCAACCAACCCCCTCGACCCCTGAGCCCGCCACCTGCAGCCCTTTGGTGCCCGGGAAGCAGAGTCCTGCTCATGGTCCTGGTGGTGAGTTAGGACAGAAAGTTCCCGAGGGAGCAAAGAAAGGTCCGATTTGCCCCCATCCACCAGGACTGAGTGACTCCCCATCACTCACCAAGTCATCCTGGGGAGCGGCCTTGTTCTCCAGCCCTCTCTCCTTTGGGGCCTCCCCGGCCATGGGGCCCAGCAGTGTCTGCGCCCTGTTGCTGCAGCTTCCTTTGGATTTAGCTGCTGCCTGCCAGCACCAGTGTTCTGTTCCCCAGGGCTGGGCAACCTCTGGTCCGTCTCCCAGCATTCCTCTCTGGCAGACCCTCCTACAAACACGGGATCTGAGATAACACACACACTCTGGCTAAAGGTACATCAGATAATGGCATTCACGGCCAACCCAACCCCGGTCCTGCCACTGGGCAGACCTGAGGAGGGGCTCCAGGACCAGGAGAGGAGCAGGCGGGGAGAGTCTGCTGCTGGCACTTCAGCTGAGGCCACTCCAGGGAGGGTCAGGCCAGAAGATTCACCTGCCCTTGCTGCCTGTTGGCCATGAGCGAGCTCCCGTTCTCCACCCCTGCCAGGATCTCGGCGAGCCGAGTAAACAGGGGCTCCCCGTGCCCCCTAGAGGAGGTTTCCACGTCTGCTGCGAACCCTCCGCACAGCCTGGGCATCCTCCACACCTCCTACAGTGTCAGGTAAGGCCATGCCTCTTTCACCGGCTGAGAGCTTTGGGCTGTGATCCGGGACAGGCGTGGCCCGCGGTAAGGGGGCCTCCCTCCCCTCTGCAGGCTTTCCTCACTCGTGGGGTTGGGCACGCGGGCACGGAGGCTGGGGCTCCCTCTGGTGGACGGACGTGGGGAGAGGGGAAGGGCTGCCAGAGGGAAGTGGGGAGCCTCGGTGAGCGGCCCCTCCTCCTGCCCACAGCGGGACCTGGAAGCTCGGGTGACACGTGACGCTGTGCTCTGCCTCATGCCCCTGCTTTGTGCCCTTTCCCCTCCCGTCTCCCTGGGCTGCAGCCTGCCCTCTGTGAATGGAGAGGGCCTGGGGAATGGGGGTGCTGGGAACACGAGGTGTAATGAAACCAGGTGAAGGAACGCAGGGTCAACCAAAGAATAAACAGTGTCCTGTTTGCCATCCACCAGCTGGCCAGAGAGAGCTGGCATTCAGAGCAGCTGCTTGACAGGTGCTTTACATAGATGATGATCTGTCACTACCTGCCAGGGTCTACAGAGGACACTGAGGCTGAAACACACTTAGGAACCTGTCCAGAGTCCACCCGGGCTGAGCAGAGCTAGGATCAGTGCTGGGGGACAGGGGTCTGTCCCACCCCTTCCAGAACCCCACGCTGCCTTTCCCCTCTCGGGGTTTCCTTTAAAGCCATCGCGTGGGGCCCTGGTGGGACGTCGCATCTCACCAACAGAAATGGACCAGGCAGATCCTTAAAGATGTCTCCTTGTACGTCGAGAGCGGACAGATCATGTGCATCCTAGGGAGCTCAGGTAAGCTGGGAAGGTGTTCTTTAAATTCTCTATGAAGAGAATGTGTTGTGGCTGGATTTGAATACCACATTGCAGAGACAGGTTTCAGTTGTATCAAGAAGGGCGCAAGTCTATTATCAGGGTTAAATCTGATAACGTGTCTATGACTGGAACCTTGTACTCATGTGAGATATTTGGAAAGATCCATGAAAGATTAAAATCTTGCCCAACATGTAAGTTCATTCATATTTCAAAAGTACCCATCACACGTGGCATATAGGGGTGCTTGGTAAACACGATTTTCCTACCTGGAGACAGGAAAAGGAATTAAATAAGCAGAAGATGCCCATTTAGTCCCACAGTCATTGGTCTTTTTTTTTTTAATGTACTTCAAACACACAGGCAAGAATAAAGAATAATATAAAGAGTGTTCATGTATTAATATCTGGCTTTATCAGATCTTAACATTATACCATATTTGTTTTAGATCCTTTTTAAAAAGGGGGAATTAAATATTGCAGATTTCACTGAGGCTGTCTCTGTGCCCAGTCCCCACCTCGTCCTCCTCTTTCCTTGTAGCAGCAAGTCATTGCCCAGGGAGGGTGTAGCCTCCAGAGGGGCAGCCCCATGTGGCTGGGGCAGCACCCTATGAGGGTCACAGCTGTGTGTCCTCAGCATGGTTGGGGGGGAGTTGCATTGTCCCTGAAGAGGGGATTCATGTGACACATCACAGGGTCCACTACCCTAGGTTATCCTGCACATTTTAAGGTTGAAAGATTTGGGCAGATGGGCTTCTCAGGAGCCTTTTGAGATCTTGCTTGACACTTCTTGCCACTCTCCACTTGCCTCACTCGCTTTAGTAGAAGTGGGCAGCGGAAGTCTCTGATGGAAGTCAAGCATGATCAGTCTCTTTCGATCCAGGGAGTTAAATCCATAGCCACTCCCCTGCTACAGCAGGTGGACAACTCGGTGGCAACAGTAGTGCTAAGATGAAAAGAAAAGGAATTCACTGACAAGAATGGTTATGCTTTCCTGAGATTTCCTGTCTTTTCCTGCCTCTAGTTTTTAATTGTTTCTAACTGTATGCATGTACCATAAAATCCAGCGTCATCTAAATTTCTTTTTGATAATTATACCACACTTCTTTAAAAAGAAAAAAGCTGACTTATTCCTATAATAATGCGTCACTCGTTGCCTTCCTTGTGGAGGATAAAAAAGGTGGCATGTGGCCCAACAAGAAAGTGAACCCATCTTCTCAGAAGTGTGTCCCACAGGCCAGTGTCACGCCTCATGCACGTCCCAGCTGGACAGTGGATGGGGCTCCCTGTTCTAGGGGCTCGTGGGCTGGTTTCTGATGATACCTTATTGTGGTTTTATCACAGTGTCCATCCTTTTACACTGAACATGAATTCTCAGTAGACTGAATTCCATGAGGGTGGGAGATTGGTCTTTCTTTTTTTCCCTGCTGTGTCCTCAACAGTTAGAACAGGGCTGGCCACAGAGTAGGTGCTCAGTAAATATTTGTTGAGTTAATGCGTGAGCAAATGAACTGATCCTATGAATTATTCTTAGTGTTTCATGAAATGATGTGACTTCATTGGTGTCTTACTTAAAGCAGGGTTGTTCATCAGATCTTTTATTAGGGAGGCCAAAGATGACTTAGGTGTTCAAAGTCTCACTAGAGAATGGTTTAATGAAAGCGTGCCTGTGGTCAGCCAACCCTCCAGGGGAAGGTAATTTTATTTGACCCATTATTTTCCATCATCTAGGATCTAGACTCTAGGCTGCATGCTCTCTTACAGAAGACTCTTTGGTTACAGATGATTTCTGTCCTTTTAGAGAAGATAAGCCCAAAGTTTATCATGGTTTTATTGCACTATCAGGCGTTAACTGTTTTTCCCCTTTTTCTCTTTTTTTTTCATTGTGGTAAAATACACTTAATGTTAAATTTGCCATCTTAACCATCTTATTTTTTATTTTTATTGAAGTATAGTTGATTTACAATGTTGTATTTCAGGCGGACAGCAAAGATTCAGTTGCATGTATATTATATATATACACACAGACACATATATAGATACATACACACATATATAGTATATATTCTTTTTCAGATTCTTTTCCATTGTAGGTTATTACAAGATAGTGAATACAGTTCCCTGTGCTATACAGTAGGACCTTGTTGTATATCGATTTTATATGTAGTAGTTAATATCTGTTAATCCCAAACTCCTAGTTTATCCCCCTCCTCTCCCTCTGGTAACTGTAAGTTTGTTTTCTATTCTGTGAGTATGTTTTCTGTTTTGTAAATAAGTTCATTTGTATCATTTTTTAAAGATGTCACATATAAGTGATATCATGTGATATTTGTCTTTCTCTCTTTGACTTGCTTCACTTTGTATAATAATCTCTAGGTCCATCCATGTTGCTGCAAATGGCATTATTCCACTCTTTTTTATGGCTGAGTAGTATCCCATTATATGTATATGCCACATCTTCTTTATCCAATCATCTGTCGTTGGACACTTAAGGCTGCTTCCATGTCTTAGCTATTTTTTTAACATTTTTTATTGATTTATAATCATTTTACAATGTTGTGTCAAATTCCAGTGTTCAGCACAATTTTTCAGTCATTCATGGACATATACACACTCATTGTCACATTTTTTTCTCTGTGACTTATCATAACATTTTGTGTATATTTCCCTGTGCTATACAGTGTAATCTTGTTTATCTATTCTACAATTTTGAAATCCCAGTCTATCCCTTCCCACCCTCTACCCCCCTAGTAACCACAAGTCTGTATTCTCTGTCCATGAGTCTTTAGATTCCACATATGAGCAATCTCATATGGTATTTTTCTTTCTCTTTCTGGCTTACTTCACTTAGAATGACATTCTCTAGGAGCATCCATGTTGCTGCAAATGGCGTTATGTTGTCGGTTTTTATGGCTAAGTAGTATTCCATTGTATAAATATACCACCTCTTCTTTATCCAGTCACCTATTGATGGATATTTAGGCTGTTTCCATGTTTTGGCTATTGTAAATAGTGCTGCTATGAACATTGGGGTGCAGGTGTCATCCTGAAGTAGATTTCCTTCTGGGTACAAGCCCAGGAGTGGGATTCCTGGGTCATATGGTAAGTCTATTCCTAGTCTTTTGAGGAATCTCCACACTGTTTTCCATAGTGGCTGCACTTAAACTGCATTCCCACCAGCAGTGTAGGAGGGTTCCCCTTTCTCCACAGCCTCTCCAGCATTTGTCATTTTTGGATTTTTGAATGACGGCCATTCTGACTGGTGTGAGGTGATACTTCATTGTAGTTTTGATTTGCATTTCTCTGATAATTAGTGATATTGAACATTTTTTCATGTGCTTTTTGATCATTTGTATGTCTTCCTTGGAGAATTGCTTGTTTAGTTCTTCTGCCCATTTTTGGATTGGGTTGTTTATTTTTTCCTTATTGAGTCGTATGAGCTGCTTATATATTTTGGAGATCAAGCCTTTGTCGGTTTCACTTGCAAAAATTTTCTCCCATTCCGTCGGTTTTCTTCTTGTTTTATTTCTGGTTTCCTTTGCTCTGCAGAAGCTTGTAAGTTTCATTAGGTCCCATTTGTTTAATCTTGCTTCTATTTCTTCTAGGAGAAAATTTTTGAAAATGTATGTCAGATAATGTTTTGCCTATGTTTTCCTCTAGGAGGTTTATCGTATCTTGTCTTATGTTTAAGTCTTTAATCCATTTTGAGTTGATTTTTGTATATGGTGTAAGGGTGTGTTCTAGCTTCATTGTTTTACATACTGCTGTCCAGTTTTCCCAACACCATTTGCTGAAGAGACTGTCTTTATTCCATTGTATATTCTTGCCTCCTTTGTCGAAGATGAGTTGACCAAAGGTTTGTGGGTTCATTTCTGGGCTCTCTATTCTGTTCCATTGGTCCATATGTCTGTTTTGGTACCAATACCATGCTGTCTTGATGACTGTAGCTCTATAGTATTGTCTGAAGTCTGGGAGAGTTATTCCTCCAGCCTCTTTCTTTCTCTTCAGTAATGCTTTAGCAATTCTAGGTCTTTGATGGTTCCATATAAATTTTATTATGATTTGCTCTAGTTCTGTGAAATATGTCCTGGGTAATTGGATAGGGATTGCATTAAATCTGTAGATTGCCTTGGACAGTGTGACCATTTTAACAATATTGATTCTTCCAATCCAAGAGCATGGAATATCTTTCCATTTTTTAAAGTCTTCTTTAATTTCCTTCATCAATGGTTTATAGTTTTCTGTGTATAATTCTTTCGCCTCCTTGGTTAGATTTATTCCCAGATATTTTATTACTTTGG